CTTGCTAAAGTTGAATAGCACAGCGATAATTGTGATACAGTGTGTATTGCACTCTATGATTGAAATGAACACCATCTGGTAGAAATGGAGATTTTATGCACTGCAAGAATCCCTTATCACTCCAGCGAAAAATGTTGGGACCACCATCCAGAACGACCTCTAAATGTTGGTTCAAAATAAATGTCTCCCTGTTGAACTCGGGGGGGGAGCTGCCTGACATGTAATCCCCTACCATCTGAACATAAGGGAGCTGAAGTAAAAGATGAACAAGGTCATCGATTTTGGAACCCACTACTTCAGGTTTGCTATGGTTAAGGTTGTTAGTACCAATTTCCAAAATTACAATTGCAGGTTGAAATGAACAAACTTTATTTAAATCTAACACAATCAACTTGTCTACTGTGCGTCCCCCAATTCCATGCAATTTTACGGATGCCCTTTGTATATTAAAACTTAGGGCCGTGCGAACGTTGAAATTAGAGCACAAAAGATGAAGTTTGACAGTAATTGAAAATCTCACCTTTATAAAGGTGAAAGAAGTCCCAAACATGAATGAGAATTTCCCTCTCCACCAAGTCCCACGTTAATCTGCCACAATCCAATCTAACCGTTTCCTACTTTTATCTTATCAATATAATTCAGGCTTGACATAAAAAACCAAATTTCCGTAGGAAATATTTTTATTTAATATATTTTATTTTTACATGTTTTTTCGTACTTTGCCTTTTAACACTAGATAAATACAGGACAATTTAATGCAACAAATATTCAGTAATACAATAAAATTCATGCTGTTTCTTGCTGCTTTCACAGAATAGATACTAGACCAGAAGTGTCACTCAGTTGATATTTCGTCTGAAATTTTATGTGTCCTGACATGAAAATAAGCCATCCTGGAGTGCAAACAGAAGTTTTTCATGATACAAACATAGATACAAAGTGCCATGTGTACCCCAGGATGGTGTCATACCACATAACAAAATTTTGGACATTCTTCCCAAGCCGAAACACATAGGAATGACATTTCTGGTCTAGTATCTATTCTGTGCTGTACTACTTATAGCAAGTAAATGTTTCCATTTTGTAGCTATAAATGTATTGTTTGAGGGTAAAATGTTATAGGTTTATTAAAAGCATTTATCAAAAGTGCTATATATAGTCCCTATCATGAATGTTGCGAATGACTATGTCAATTGCATATGATACAAACATATTGAGCAAAAATTCTACGCTGTAAGTGGCCAACTCTCCAGCCCCAAGTTTTGCTATTTTATGTCCCAGTATATAATGTGCACATTGCCTGTTTTCCCTAAATCCATATTGATGTTTTGATATTTTATTTTTATCAATAAATTTTGATAGTCTATTAATCATAAATCTTTCTAACAATTTCGAAAAACAAACAAGAACTGATATTGGTCGGTAATGTTCAAACTTCATTACGTCATCACCCTTAAAAATAGGTGTAATCAATGCAACTTTTAGATTATCTGGAATAATTCCAGTCGAAAACATTAGATTGAAAATGTGTGTTAATGGTTTAGTGATTTCTTTAGCTATTAATTTCACAATGTTTGTGCTAATACCATCATATCTGCAACTTTTGTTTGACTTCATATATTTCAGTTTAAATTCTAGTTCATTTTCTGTGATAGGATTACTCTCGATTTCAATTTGCTTTTCAAAACTGACTTCCAATGTTTACTTGTAAATTCGAAATGTTCGTTGTAAAGTTCTGAAGTTTGTTTCGAAGTTCGTTCCGATGATTTACGATAATCAAGTTTAGTAAGTTGTAATTGGCTAGTTAAGTGAACCAGCCAATGAAATCGCTATTGAATCATCATAAATCATCGTAACGAACTTCGAAACAAACTTCGGAACTTTAGAATGAACATTCCGAATTTACAAGTAAACACTGGAAGTCAGTTTTGAAAAGCAAATTGAAATCGAGAGTAACCCATTAAGTGCCAGCGCTCTCCCCTTGACCAGTAAAATCGTCTGGCGTTAGACAGAGTAAAATACTCTGGCATTAGACAGAGTAAAATACTAAAATAGGGTGCATCGCCACTCAATGGGTTAACTAGACACATGGGCAGATAGGCCAGTTAAAAAAGAAACTGGATTTACAACTACCTTTGAGATATTTATTTGCCAAATTTGGTCCAACATTAGTAAAGTAGTTGTTGAAGTGGTTAGGTTTTTTTGGAGGGTCATCTATATTTGATGAGCAGGTCTCAACAAAGGTTTGTGATATTTTGGTGTTTTTCTTTAGCTTATTGAGTAATTCATTAAGTGTTTTCCACACCATTCTTGAATTCTGTTTATATTTGATCAACCACAGGCAGCCCAATCTTACCCTGTGTTATTAATTTATTACGTTATATCTTTATATAATTGTATGTTGAAAATCATTAGAAAATCCTGTGTTATTAATTTATTATGTTATATCTTTATATAAAAGTATAATGAAAAGCACTTACATGTGTTTCCTGAAAGATTTTAACGAGAACCGGACATTTCCGGTAAGAGAGTGAACGTTTGGGGAGTTAGCGAATGGCCTCTGCGAATGTCCTGTTGTTGTTTTGAAAGCCGACCAATGACAATGCAGCATGTAATTCGAATTTGAAGGCCATGAATTCAGATCGGTCATGAACCTCGGAATATTAGACATTTGTAAGTTTCAATTGGCATTTTCTGCAGGAAGATTATTGTTAAATTCTGTTAAAGAAAAGTATATTATGTAAAAATTATCGCTCTTCCGATGTAACGTAATTTGGCGAGGATGCGACAGCTGAAGTTCGCGTTATTCGATTGATTTCTGTCAGAGTTTGTCCCAATTAGTTGAATTAACGGTCAAAGTGACCAGCCTTGTATTATTTCCTGCTGTAATCCTCATTGTCAACCCCAACTATGGCTGTTAACCTCTTGTCAATGCCAATCTTGGCCGGTTCTCATTAAAATCTTTCAGGAAACACATGTAAGTGCTTTTCATTATACGTTTATATAAAGATATAATGTAATAAATTAATAACACAGGATTTTCTAATGATTTTCAATATACTATTATATAAGGACATAACATAATAAATTAATAACACAGGGTAAGATTGGGCCGTGTGTGGATCAACTGGTCTTCATAATATGTCTTTTTTCCATTTTTATTATATGATTTAGTTTATTTTTATCATTTTTGTACAATTGTTCATTTTTGCTATTACGATTCATAAGGAAGGTTTTGTATAGTTTATTTTTATTTCTAACTGATTTTAAAATACAGTTAGTCATCCATGGACTTTTAGTTTTGTTTATCTTTCTATTGTTTCGTTTGAGTGGAAAATTTGCTTCATATACATCCGCGAAAATTTTCAAAAACTCATTGTAGGCTTTTACCGGGTCATTTGTTTCATCCAAAATATTATTCCAGGAAAGGGTTTTAATTGTGTTTTTGAACACCTGTGTTAATTTTATTAAATGTTCTTTGGCATGTTACGTTACTAACATTTTTAGTAGTGTTTTTACTAAAAATATTTGTATTAAACATATGCACTATTGGCAAATGGTCTGAAATATCGTTAAAAATTATACCGATATCATTGATATCTATTGTGGGTTGCTGTGTCATAGTGTGCTATATTTAAAGAGATAAAATATGTGCATTTCAGAATGGTTTGAAATTTGATTCTGTCACCTGTTTTGTGTTGACGTGGATTCCCTAACATAGTTACTAAAACAAGGAATCACCTAAAACAACCTAAAACTATCTAAAACGATCTACAACGACCAGTGAAATGATCTAAAACAATCTAAAACCATTTAAAACGACCTAAAACCATCTAAATTACTAAAACGACCTAAGACCATCTAAAACGACCTAAAACCATCTAAAACGATCTACAACAACCAGTGAAATGATCTAAAACGATCTAAACTGGCAAAAAAAAATCTAAAATGCTCGATAAAATTATATTATGAAGCTACCTAAAACGATCTGCATATCAACAGCTCATGAAACCACCTATATATATATATAACAGCAAAAATGTTATAATGTTAAAGTCATATAACCCATAGTCATAGAACTATATCTTGGTATGCACACCAATACCTTGGTGCCAACACAACTTAATTAAATCAATTTAAGGTGGCTCCACATATACAGTTTCTTGAAAAGTGGAAAAGACCATTTGTACATTGATATTTTTATAGAAGAATGAAACCAGATGTCATGTATACAACAGTATTTTGAGAATCAGAAACTGTATAAATGGAAAAGTCTGTAATTGTGGTCACTATGGCAACAATGGCATTTCAAAAAATGGTTGCTAATATGCATTTAAACTAGTTTAATTCGAAAACAATGTCAGTGACCCCCAATTTTTATTTTATTATTTTTTTTCCAGTATGAGCAACCATCAGGATAATTTTTAAAAAATTCTGTAGATCCAAAATTTTTCAAGTAAATTAATTTTAATGCAAATTAGCAGGCATTTTGGATCGTCATTGTTGCCATAGCAACCATGATTATGCATTTTTTGTTGCAGTTTCCTACTCTCAAAAATCAAAATGCTGTTCCATTCCTCTAACAAAATATCAATGAACACTAAGATTTTGCATCAGAAACGTGTGTTTTTTACTTTTCAAGAAACTGTATGGAGCCACCTTAAATGCAACACAACTAAGAGTTAATAAAGAGCCCCATAGGCATAGGTGACAATTAAATCCATTTCACAATTTTCTTGTCAGTTTTACCACGTGTGTTGTGCCGTTTTAGATTGTTTTATTGGTCGTTGTAGATCGTTTTTGGTCGTTTTAGATGGTTTTAGGTCATTCCTTGTTTTAGTAACTACGATTCCCTAAACAGTTGGCCATCTATATATAATTTGTCTCTCACTAATTTAGACTTTCTGCCCGCATCTCTTGCCTTCTTCATCTCTGGATACAAACGTTTCCTTATTGCCATAATTTCTTCCGGGAACTTTTCGAAACAGCTATACCCGTACCTTTCAGTTTTCTTGTGTTTGCCAGAATTCGCACTTTGTCAGGGAAATAATTAAATTTGGCAACAATGGCCTGCGGTTTTGTTCCTTGCTGTTTTCCCATTCTATGTGAGCGGTCAATCTTTATCATTTTCGCATCTTCAATTCCAAAGTGACTTTCGATTAGATTGTGAATTATCTCAGTCGTGTTTTCCTCCTTATTTTCCTTTATATTATAAAATATAAGATTATAGCGCATTGACCTTGCCTGAAGGTCGATGACGTGATTGTTTAACACAGAGTTCATCTGTTCCAATTTCTCCAGTCTTTGCTTTGTTTCTTCCTCTGTTTTCTTGGAGATTTTATTTTGCTCCTTAAGGTCTTGAACCTCCGTGTGAACGAACTCAACCGAGCTTGCGGCTCCATGCGGCTGTCAATTATGTCAAGCTTGCTAAGCTTTTTCATTATGATATCGAACATTCCTTTCACATCCATACCATCTTCTTCCTCCTTAGCCTGCTTTGTATTGTTAGGTTTTTGAATTTTTTATCAAACTGGCTTACTGGGCGAATTTTGAGTAGAATTATTTAAGTTTTGCGCTGCGCACTTAGAGGCCTGTTTCCTGTCCGCCGTCTTGCCCCAGTTTACATTTAACAAAGTACAGCAAGTTTCATTTTATCAAGTCTTTATTGTTTACATCTTTAAAGCTAAATTAAACGATATGTATAATTACAATGTGTGCTTTATGTAATAGGGCTAAAAAGTGCAGATATATCATATTCTGTCAAACATAACAAGGTGATATGCTCGGTTAGTAAATAGCCTGACATCAAAAAACACAAATCATTTCAGTTTTCTGTTGTGAAATCCCAAATCTTAGCAATTTATGGAATATTTCCAAACACCACATGCAGATGAAATGTTTGTCTATCCTTAAGCGTCACAAACATATACCAGGAGATAAAATAGCAAAATTTGGGGCTTGAGCGTGGGCCACTTACAGTGTAGAATTTATAGCTCAATATGTTTGTATCATATGCAATCGACATGGTTGTTTGCAACATTCATGTTAAGGACTATATATAACACTTCCAAAGCTAATAAACCTATAACATAAGACGTTTTACCCTCAAACAATACATCTATAGCTAGAAAACGGAAACATTTACTTGCTATAGATAACAGCAAGAAACAGCATGCATTTTATTGTATTAGTGAAGATTTGTTGCATTAAATTGTCCTGTATTTATCTAGCATATAAAAGGCAAAATTTATGTTTTTACCACAGAAATTGGCAGTTAACACATTGTTTGCTATAAAGGATGTTCGCCCAATGAATAGTTAAATATTAACCATTTGTGTACTGATGCAAACTTTTCCATAACCGCTACGTTTCATGCATAGTATAGCAGTAAAGGAGCTTCTAAGGAGCCTAAATTAAAATGTTCGCCAGTTATTTATTTAACAGTTATTCCACAAACTCGAGTCGAATATGAGCTGATAGCCAATGAGGCACGTAGTGCAGAATCGGCTATCACTCATATTCAACGAGAGTGAGTGGAATAACTGTTTTATTATATACACAAGGTCTAAATTCACAGACTTTGCTTTTCGGATATTTTTAAATATTTTTCTATTTTTTAATGTTTTTTATCTTTGCTCTTTCGGCCAATTATTTTTCAAAAATATATATTTTTAACCATTTTAAATTTTAAATTTATTTGCTAACCTGTAAACAATTTGTGGGAGTTTTTTATTGTGTTTTTAATATTGTAAAGGCTATAAAAAGTGAACAACTTGCCGTTTTCTCATCACACTAATGTCGGAAATTCAGTTTCACCTGCCATTTTGGTTTTCGGTACTAGCAGGATACGAGCTAATATCATGCTAGTAGAGAACCAATCAGATTGTAGAATACCTCATATCCTGACCTTGCGTATTTAATAAATTGCTATATTCATTGGTTTTCACTTCTTCCCTTTTTTCTTTCACATTTAATGCGGTCCACAAGCTGGACAACAGACAGTTTATGTATAAGAGTGCATTACCTTCTTGGGTTTCGGAAAAGCTTTTTTTAATTTCCACTTTTGAAACTTGTTTGCCAAGAATCATGCCAGAGAACATTGTTCTTTCTGTGTCTGAAAAGATTACAGTAGACTTTTTAGTTGATGAATGTCCATCATGAGTAATGCTTTCATTTTCTTATTTAGAACAGGCAGCTATTTTTTCAACCTTGTCATGCAATTATTCGCATTCTTTAGGCAGGTCGATCTTCACATTAGATTTGGCTGTTGGTTTAAATGTTTCTTGAGCTTGTCATCCAAGGTATTCTCTTCATTCCAAGCTCTTTCTTCTCAATACTGCCAGATTCACTTGTATTACCTTTTAAAGGGCAATCCTGATCTGGCATAAGCTTGGCTAATTTCTTTGATGCCTCTACGGACGCTTTTTATTTTTCCGACAAAAGGTAGTACTTCTTTGCCATGACTTCACTATGTGCCATTAACCCAGCCAGCTTACTACTTAACTCTGAATTAGTCTTGTGTATCTGTCACCACGGTTAATAGAAGGAGACTTGTTAGGCTAGCCGGCAAACTTCAAAGTCTCTGAAATTATGTTGCAGGGCTGCCATCCCTGGTAGCTTTCAAATCTGGAGAATTGATATTCCATTAAAATCGATCATTTTTGCCCGATACGCGAAAAATGTTGGCGACCTCTTCTTTAATGGCATCAATACAGGTAAAAAAATCCCTGTAAGATGAAGTGTTTATGGAAAATGCCGCCATTCAACCGCTGATTAAAAGCAACGCAGGCAGCAACAAAATAATTTTATTTTTCCAGCAAAACGAAGTTCTAATGAGCAACGCAAATAATTTTTATTGTTAAAATCTTTGACAACGAAGAATCAAATGGCTAGTGCATAAATCGACGTTGGTGATTGTCCTAATCCGGGAGAATTAAGACAAAATCTGGAGACTGGGAGATTAGGTCCAAAATCTTGAAACTCCCGGATAATCCGGGAGAGTTGGCAGCCCTGATGTTGGGAACCACAAAAATAAATGTCATATGGTGCGATCCCTGCATCACACAAGGAGTGATACTAAGAAAACAATAAGAAATTTAGAGTATGAACAGATCAAGCCAAAGCGAGTCTGAAATTTACCTAGAAGATTGTGAAAATGAAGACTATGATCTTGAAGTTACCGTGGCTGTTACGCAGGATGAATGAGAGGATATAGAGGACAAATTTAATGACGCTTTGAGCAAAATACATGGTGAAAAATCGTTCCCTTGTCCAAAGTTGTGTAAGTCTATTAAAGGCGGCTTAATGAGACACACAAATTCGAAGCACAGCGAATTTTCTTCCCAGCAAACATCGGCAGAATTGCATATTTTTGCTACGATACTGTTGCATCAATTGTGGAATCGATCAAGTCGCAAATTATAAGAAAAAAATTGTATGGGGTTGAAATGAGCAACAGCACCAAGACTGCATCATGTACTCAAGCTTTGTTTTGATGCTTTATTCATGCAAGTTCTGCTGAAACTTGACCAAGCTGAGTGTGAACCTTTGTTGCATGTCGCAGGCTATACAGTATCAAAACTTTTCCAGACAAATAAACGAAAGGGTGGGGTGTAACACAACGACGAACTAAATTGTGCTTGGAAAATGTCATCAAGTTGTTTTTGAAGGTCACACTTTTATATGCAAAGGACTATCTGAACAATGAATGGGGCCTGAAAAGATTAGCTAAACCAGCAACATAAACTCTGTTGACAATGATGTAAATTGTGTATTCTTTTTGATTGGAAACTATACATGTGTTATTATACCACACTCTGACCTCGACTGACATTAGCTCTTGCAGCAACAGTTGATACGAAAGATTTTTTAACCAAAGAAGGCAAAATGCCAAAGTGGAAAAATCAGCTTACCTGTTCATTCACTGTCATATTAAAGCAACATTCTGGCCAGGATAATTATCATTAATCAGCCACAAGATTAAATATTCCACAATCGTGCATTTCCACTGTATTGCTAGCATACAGGTTAATCACCTAGCTGTGAGATTATTTTATCAACATGAATATTTTAAATAGTTATAGAATGTTATTACAACGTTGACGGTTGTAAATACTGTCTATACCGAGTATACAGGGTGTATGAAAAAACATGCAACCTTGGAATTTCCTAAGAAATCACTTTGCAATTCTTGAGCATAAAAGATTTTAAGCCCCAGGGAATTGAAATCCAATTGCTAATAGATCATATTACTGTTGTTGTGCATTAAATAAATGCATAAATTTTGTTTTATGTGGCACCTAAAATCTTTTGTCTTTAAAACAATGTCGATTTCTTGGGAAATTCCAAGGTTGCGTTTTGACTACATTCTTTCCATACTTTATGTGTGTGTTGGTGTCATGTACTAAAGTGAATATGATGTTTGTGGTGTTACTCTGTGTGCATCCACATCGGGCAAGTCGAAAAGTTTGTCTGACCACAGTGGGATTCGAACCCGCAACCTTTGTTATACTAGTCCAATGCTCTGCCTGTTATACTAGTCCAAAGCTATGAGGTCAGGTCGGTTCAAGTTGGTGATATTTTGGAACTGAGTTTAGTTCCTTCAGCTCAGTTGGCAGAGCATTGGACTAGTATCCCAAAGGTCTTCGGTTCAAATCCCATCGTGGTCAGGAAAACTTTTAAGCTTGCCTTGTTGGGGATGCACACTCAGAGTATTAACACCACAAACACTATTCATTCCAAATGGTCAAAAACAGTAATAAAAATGCTTTCATTATTTGGATATATGTAAGCTTTGCAATTTTATGATGATATGTCACTTTATGACATGTCTATGCAAAATAGGAATATAAATTCATACTGAATTAGCCCATTGAGTGGCAGCACTCTCCCCTTAATAGGTAAAACTGTCTAGTGTTAGAGTAAAATAATAAAGTAGGGATGGGTGCAATGCCAAGGTTAATGCATAAACAAAAGCCAACATATATATCAATATATTGCCAACTGTTGTCAATTTCTAATGTCAAATTCTAGGCTGATTAATTAATAAATCTAGTAAGAGCACAATCAACTCATGTGTTTTTACTTGCAAAGGAGAAATAACAGGGGTTTTAAATGAGGGAGGGGGGGGGGGGGGCTTAAAAGAGAATTGAATTTTTGACAACTCATAAAATTGCATAACTTCAAATAAATTATGAAAACAAGTGTTACTTAACTCATTAAGTTGCAGACTGTTGCAACATTGGCACTCCCCAAGTTGCAAGGAAAATGGCGAATTTTAGTTACTGTCAACTTCTGTCAACTGCTTTTACAAAAATACCCATATCTCAAGATCAATGTTATAAAAAACCTTGAAATTTTGCAGTGGGTTAAAATGATAAATGATTAATCAATTCGATTTTAAATGAGCCCCCACACTTAAATATATCATTAGATTTTTGGGTGAGAATTCTTGGTTTGTGTAAATTTAAGTCCCTGACATTTTGTTTCTTCATGACACCCAACATCTGAAGGGCAATAATTCAATAACCCAACATAAATGGAGAAATATTTTTTGATTCCTGGATTGGTACACATTTATTTTCAAATTAGTTTTCATCTTGTAGGGTATAAATTACAAAATAATGAAACGCTATAAAAATTTGCTTGGGCATAGCTCAGGCACACTCAGGACATCTAGTTTACAATGGAGAACTTGAACTTCAGAACTTGTTGTTCAAGTCCCAAAAACTCTGTAACCCAAAAACACAGTGTTTGTACCTCTTTGAAGTTTTTAAATAGCTCAAATATGTTTGGAAAAGCACGAAGTACAAAAATTACTAATTAAAATATAAACAAAGGATGAAAAAGGTGAGAAAATTTTAAAATGTTTGAGGTGTTTTCAATTCTGACTTTGACAGCCGGCATTTTCAAACGCAGCGTGCGGTGACAAAACAAAAGGCTTTTTATTTCGCTATTAAGAGCACTGAAAGTCGTCAAAAAGAGATAAACACTTTTGAATATTCATCAGGTAAGAATTTTAACTGAAATTCCTTTTGTTTCACACTTTTGAATATTCATCAGGTAAGAATTTTAACTGAAATTCCTTTTGTTTCTGTTGAGAAAACAACGGATTTGTGGCTAAAACGTCGTGCGCGCCAATGTAGGTTGCTGTAAAATGTCAGACAGGCAGTTTCTTTTGAAATCTGACTCTAGTTTGAAATCTGACTCTAGCTTGAAATAAGTCCTTTTCAAGGACCAATTGTATAAAAATATAATATGTATGCTCAAATAAAATGAATAATCTAATATTTAGGTATTTTAGATTGCTATAAAAGAGTGAAATAAAGTATTTCATCTTTGGTTGTTTGTCAGACGAGAGTAAACACATTGGTGACACTTTGTTGCGCATGCAGTTTTCAAAAGATAAACTGCTAAAAATATAGCTTTTATTTCACCAAATAGCAAAGTATCTTCCAGATATTATTAAAAGAGCTCAAGCGAAGTAATTCCATGATAAATAAGTGAACAATGAGACCAAAAAAGCGACTAAATTACAATTTTGGAAAGTATATAAATTTAATGGCTTCCAGCAAAAGAAGCCATTTCAGAGGAGAACGGCATTTTGTAAACTACTCTCCTAACCTATTTTAAACTTTTCCTTCAGGTAATCGATGAGTACTTCTTAGAAAATGAGCGTACATTAGTTTTATGATGTGCTTTATTGATTTAAAAATTTTATGGGGATATATGAAGCAATAAAGTGTATTTTAGAAGCTTTTCAAATCCCTGTCATGAAGGTTCAGAATTTGCACGCGCCAAGTAACGGCATAATTCAATACACTGATTTTAAACCACATTATCTCTGAAATGAGAGCTCGTTTCGAGACAAAGTTTATAGAAACAGATATAGTATTCATTGTAGAGTATTCTATATTAGTTTTAATGCGGTTTTACTCGAAATTTTTCTTGCCAAAATGTATATACGCACATGACAAGTTGAACCTACTGTCTTCTGAAAGTACTTCAGCTAAAATAACAACTTGAGCAAGACGACCAACAGTAGGGTCACGAAAACAGTCGAAATCATGCCATAAAATGCACGAAAAGTTCTTCTAAAAACTTAGTTTTAAACTAGATTGAACTTGCTTTAATGCTATATCGTATTTCATGAAAACATGCCAGGTATTTTCATTCAAAAACACGCTCAAAAAAATCGTGACTACTCACTTGGATTTAGTGTTCATGTTTCTTGCGATTTCCCACTTCAATTTTCCGTTAGATTGAAAGAAATTGCTGTTTTTCTGGCTGAAAATCGCGCGACTTGATTTGGACAAGAACTTGACTTGAAACATATGCACACTCCCTTATGTTTTACAATATATTTTATATATAAAACACTTTAAAAACCTCTTCTTTTTCATCCTTAAAACTTGCTGCAAAGTCTTATCTTGTGACACTTTGCGGTTGTCACAGGTTTTTTAAAAAAATAGAGTTTTAAAATCGAAAATCTTCGCAAACTTTTGATCAATTTTCTCGCATGATGTATCGTTTGAAAGCCCGAATTTTGCACTTTATACTCGTGAGCGTTGCTAGGCAACCCGATAAATACGCGCTAGACAATCGTGCCCGGAAGTTGACGTGTCATCCAGGGCGCATGAGGGCGCAATGAGACTTACCCCGTTCCCAATTCCAGGGCGCATGGGGGCGCAATGAGACTTAATGAGTTAAGTGGTACGAGATAATTTCTTTGGGCTTTTTCTTTTCTTCACAGGTTCATCACTAACTCACATTTTCTCTGATAGCAGATGCAATGTGTCTTTGTGCAGCAATGGTGAGCTCATTGTAGCCAAACTGCTGGGCTGTGGGGTTGTCAGATTGTCTACCTTTCGCTTGGTCATGACCAAAATAATCCTCTAACCCATCTTACATAAACCTTTCTCTGAGAACATGAATCAGGAAACCCAACCAAGTTGTGATCAGATGTTGGGTCGACCAATGTACAACTGATTGAGTGTTCACATCTTCTGGCAAGCATACTTGTTAAAATGCATTCAGGCTTGAAATTAAGTTCAGGATTAAATTTTTCCATTCCTTTCACACATTTTCATTCAATTGTCAGGTGTGCTTGCTGTCATCAGCACGAACCGATGGCAGTTTAAAGAATAAAAGCCTGTGCTTTCTGTTGCTTGAACAACCATAAAATGCACAGTTTTCGCTAGGCATGACATTTATCCTGCCATCCGAAAAAAATAGAATTGAAATAAAAAAAAACAACCACTTTATACCGGGTGTCCCCAAAAAAATATACCCTGTTTGATTTCATGTAACGTACAATCTATAAAAGCTATTTCGCCAAAATAAAAAGCATTGTATTTAGAAAGGATTAACTTAGATATTGATATGTAACATTTCATTTTCTGTGCAATATTGACAGAGCTATTGATGTTTCAAAGTTGAACTACCATTTCTGAAAAGGTCAAAAATTAGCATAAAACAGCATATCAAATTGCAATTTAGTTACTTGCCGATTATTTTTATTCTAGCTAGAAGAATGCATTTATGTACAAAAGGATTAACTAATATGAGTTTACTCATCAGGAAAAGCATGTCCTTGAGCCTGAATGCACTGTTGTGCTCTAGAAATCATACCATCAAAAGCGTTTTGGATCATTTGTTGATCCAAAGATTCGCAAGCAGAAACGATTGCCTCACACAAATTGTCTAACATTCCTTGGCTGCTGATCAAGCTGCACATTCCAAATTGTTTGCTTTAGATAGCCCCAAAGAAAAAAGTCACAAATTGCCAGATCAGGAGAGCGTGGGGGCCAGGGCCAATCGCCGCGTTTGCTCATTATTTGACTGGGAAATTGTCCTCGAAGATACCGCATCATCATGTTGCTTGTGTGACATGGAGCGCCGTCTTGCTGCCACCACATATCATGCCTATCGACACTGTGGATGAGAAAATCTCTTTGGATGACGTTATAGCGAATTATTCTCAAGTATTCTCTCTGCTGTCGAGTTTTCTTTCGATAAAATGTGGACCCAAAACAACACCTGTTCTTGCCAATCCAACCCATACCATCACTTGGTCGGCACCTTGAGAAAATTCAACATAATGATCCGGTGGGTGGCCGTCCCCCTTTGCTGCGTATTTTATGACATTTCTTGAATTTATTTCAGCATTTGAGCTAAAAATTGCTTCGTTGGATACGATTAGCTGGTCAAGGAAATCAGGATTCTGCCCTGCTGTGTTGACAAATCGATTGCAGAATGCCAATCGTTGTTGTGGATCGCCTTCTCTCAGTTGGTGCCTCTGCATTAGGACATATGGATGAAATTTGATATCCATTTTGACAATTCGATTAAAACTGCTTCGACTTAATCCTAACCCATTTCTTCTTGCTGATCTTGGGACCACATCTATATTTTCCTGAGTTCTGACAGTTCTTAATCGACCGCTTCTTCCTTTGTTAAGATTGTGGCAAGTGCCTTCTCGCACAAACTTCTCAAACGTTGCTTTTATGTTTACCTTACTCGGGACTGGAATACCATCCAATACGGCCACCGCCTTATTACTTCACGAACATTGTTTGTTCTAGCGTATTCGATACAAATCCAAACTCTTTGGTCTTTTGTTAACTGAGGCATCTTTAAGAATATAAATCTAATCGACAATGTTTATTTCATTGCGAATTTTAATCCCAAGGGATGTCAAATGGAACTTTCTTTAAACGTGAATTATTACTTTCACTAAATTGTTTTATTCCTAAGAATCAATCTTTAAGTGTAATTTTTATTTTTAAAAGTAAATTTGCAAGGGAATAACCTAAAATTAAAGATAAAATCACTGAAGTTAAAAAGATTCCATGTCAAGTGATAACTGCTTTCAATTTAGTTTGATGTGGTGATTTTTGTCATTTTTTTTGACAATTTCTAAAAATCCTCGCAACTTCAAACACTTGTATTTCTGTCAATATCACACGGAAAATTAAATGTTACATATCAAAATCTAAGTTAATCCTTTATGAATACAATGCTTTTTATTTTAGTGAAATAGCTTTTATAGGTTTTATGTTACATGAAATCAAACAGGGTATAGTTTTTTTGGGAACACCCGGTGTTGAAATTTCAAATGCAGGTTTTGTATACATTCTGTATATTCCTAATAAGCGATTGAGATATGATGCAGGGAATGAACCACATGGCCCTTCAAGACAAGGTTGAATAACATAATTTGTCACGTGGTACAAGTAGCCTAACCAGTCTCCTTCTATTAACCGTGGTGTCACAGCAACTTTTTGAAAAGATGTGGACGTAACTTTCGTTGGAATTTCAGCCTTCTTAAATACTGATTGGACTGCTTCATTTATCTGCCCAGATGTCATGCTTTGCCTATTCCACGATAAAAACACCAGGCTGGTCGTTAAGGTTGTGCATTGCCTTCACATGTGTTGCACGAAAATAGTGAGCCAAGCCATCAATCTCTTGCTCAGTACAACATAAACTGCCCCATGAATGTGGACAGTTTTGTGCACTTTTACTGCTATAAGATACTAGTCATCACCTTCTTTGCACGTGTTGTAATACTCATTCATTGTCATGCACGTTAAAACTCTGTCTGTTTGCACTATCAATGAAAATTTGGGCAAACAGAAAGTCTCCCACCAAAGCGTATCCCATTTGGGTGACAAGTGGGGCGTTGGAGGGGTCTGAAAATTGTCCTATCAATTTGACTGCTTCCTGAGCTGCTTCCGTTTTCTCAAATTCCCTAATGTTGGCCAGTGTTCGACGATTCATCACATCCTCCTCTAGTTTGTTTCATCCACCAACAAGTACACAAATCTCTCTGTTATGTTGACCACAGGCATACTTTCTCTCTTGATGAGGTGACCACCTCCATGTTGAAATTAACATCATCTGGGTTTTCTGCTAGCAAAAATGAAAGGAAATGACACAAGCTCATCAGATAGGATTTAATTGTACCTCCTTCAAACTTTTTGGCTTTGACATGGGTTTTAAGAAAAGCACTTCTCACAAGTCCTATATCAAGCAGGGACTTGATTTCGCCAGTGTTGTCAATCGCATTCAACATGTTTACTAATTGTCCACTGTGTTGGTTTACTGTTTTGTTATCCCTTTTCCCACCATCTGGTGACTTCAACCATTCCTCGAATTTTATCAAGACAGGATTAGCAGTCACTCAATTTGAGGACCCCTTTCTTCCTCCTAAGCTTCCAGATTCACCCGGCGAAGGTGCTCATTGTCATTTTTTTCTTCTTGTACATTGTTTGCTGGCAACATTTCCAGTGGAGCAGATATTCTTTGCTCATGTTCTTCCTTCCAAAGAATTGTCAGATTCTTTTTGTCCAATACAAATGTGGCCACTCGCCAAAGTTTCGAAATATTCTTTAAAATTATCCTTCATGTTGTGTACCTTTCGTAAATGGACAGGTAAACGAAAGACGATGGAGTGGCATTTACTAACTGGACAACGACGACGACGGTGGTAGTCCTTATCTTTTTCGTTGGCTGAGCTTGCTTTCTTTTTCTGATGTTGTAGTTGAGGAGTACCTTTGCTGCCGCATCCTTCGTCCATTTATGTACATTCCACAAATGATGATGAGGCAAATAAACCACACTTGACCTAACTTGCCTAGCTTTAAATTAATGGAAACAGTCGTCTTCATACCACTTCCTTCACCTGTTTTTTTATCCATGTCCTTTTCTTCTTTCCTACCATTTTGTTCCCGCAAACTTCGCTTTTTGCCTTCCAAAACTTTCACCTTTTTTGTTGGTCAACCATCTATTTTTTATTCCGTCTTTCAAGGCCCTGATTCTTCCTTCCACTCTTCATCGCTTTTTGAGGGTTTCCAGCTTTCCTCGATCACTATCAGATTTCTCTCTACCACAGGCGGCCCAGACGCGTATCAGTGTATAGTAAATATATCATTATAAAATATACTAAACAATAAAATTTGTAATGAATTTTATATTTTAAAATCATATTTACTTGCCTACTTTGATTGTATGTGATCGTCTTTTATTTCTGAGGG